AGCAACTGACTCTCCCTCTCGCGTTGCCCTGATTGAGAAAAGTTATGATTTTCCCTCCACAAAAATGTCTACATGATCTTTCTAGCACAACTAGATATGTAATGGTTTTTATGATTTCTGCTCTTTTCGGCTACCGGGTAAGTTCGGGTTACTTTGCGGGGTAACTTTGATCCAAACCCTTTAACCAATAATAACTGAGAACCAATCATATATTCGTTTTTCATTGGTTCGAAAATTTGGATCAAAATTACCTCCCAGGGTCAAAGTAACCTGAACTTACGGTATTTATCTGTCTTTGTGACTGAATTTAGAAATGTTCAGTTTTACAGTATTATGATGCAATTGTTTTTTTTCTGTGGCTTTGCATTCGCTCCAATGAAGAGAAACTATGGCATGTGCCAGATTATGATATCTTATATTAGTGTGTTAAGTTTAACAAACATACATTTCCTTTAACCACAGATTCGCCTGCGTGGTATGTTGATAAAAAGTAGCCTATGAATTAATCCAAGGTATCACCTATCTGCATACCAAATTTCAACTAAATCGGTCCAGCCGTTTCTGCGTGATTCTTTCACGCCAAACAGACATCTATGTATACATTCTAACAAACTATTATTACGGATATCTATAGGAAGTTGGGTATAATCAATTATTCATTGTATGTTCATAATAATCATAATATTGTTAACGTCTTTTTTGCCATGCAGTGCAGTCGGCAAAACATGTCGAATTTTTTGGATGAATATAATGTCTGTTTGGACCTCAGAAATGACCAAAAATATGAATCGATTGGCTTTAGACACCTTTATGATCATTCGTGATTGAGGTATAAAGTTATAAACCCAAAATATTCCAATGTAATATTGTCAAATCACTTGTTACTTGATTGGGAGGATAATTTGATGGCTGACATTTATGTTTTCTTAAATTATTTTGACTTTGTACATTGTAGCGATTGGATGTATTATTTATTTATACCATCATCAATTAGAATTAATCACAGAACTATTTCAGAGTTAATTATTTTAATATAAATCCTGGACGATGCCACAGATGAAGACATTAGGCATATCTACAACCCAAAATACAAACTTTATTTATTTTTGCGAATCTAAAATTGTTCGAATAATAATGTTCCATTCCATATTTAAACTTTAAAATCGCACTTTTTTAATAGACACGCGTGTACTTAAAGTTCTTTATTACATGTTAGTCTATATTGTTTTTCGTGACGTACAGTAATTGGTGTGCATAGTAAAACTTCTTTCAGAGACTGCTTAAAATAACTGTAAAGTAAAACTTGTGTTTGTGAGATAGGAATATATTTTTCTAAATGTTTACCAGTTATTATTACATTGAAAGTTTTAAACATTAATTTCACACTCGCATTCGCCGCTTTGATGGACAGAACTAATCGTGAAAGGGTCCCTCAGGTACTTTGTTTAGTGAAGCTTAAAAACTGTTCTTGCTTCGTTTGAAATGAGTCGCGGTTGTGAAGTTTACTTTATCGGCTTTAGAAAGACGTGTATAACAATGTCATTTGAATATTAATTCATTATACTCCAGGCGAACGCTGGCATTCGCGGGCCTAGGTATTGACTTGCTATTGTGTTTCATATTACCACAATTAAATGGTTAAAAACTTTTGGCTTAATGTTGAGTAAAGAAAACCGCGGGAGGTTTACAACCAGATTTTTTAAAGATAGTCCCACGGCCTGTTTGCGTAGGTTTATTGTTTCATTCTCATGAAACATGCAAGCAAAGTGCGCTACCTAAACCAGTATGAAGTAATTAAGTTTTTAACTACTTAATACCTTACCAAACATGACCGGGACGCATTCAAAGAATTTGAGTAAAAACCCAAATGAGGATTGTTTATGCGTTTCTCACAAAATCGCGGCAGTCGGCCGTAGCCGTAATAAGTAACAACAAAGGCGGGCTCGCGTCCCTTTCAATTAGTTTTTACGCGGCGGAGATAATGATTTACAACGGACGGACGGACGAGGCCCACGGTGTAATCGCGGACGGCCATCTTTTCCCGGAAAGAGCGACAATGAACACACGTTCGCGGTATTTCGCCCCCTCTACACTATGGTCTCGTTTAGTTTAGCTGTGTGAAAGCTTTCGCGGCGTCGTGGAGCCGTGGAGGAAGTGTCTACGCAATGCGATAATAAGACCGTCCTACCGCTCACTAACTCACTACTGATTCTTGATAAATGTCTAATATGTTGTGTACATAGGTAGGTACTATTACGTATGTCTTTGAAAAGCAGCTTGAAATTAGGTGCTCTTTCGATGAGAGACAGGCAACCGTTCGCGTGTTGATTGCTTTTCATGTTCCATGATATCAAAGTTGTTAATGTTATCATTACGTATACCTTCTAGCTTAATACTTAGTTTCATATTTTGAGATTTCACTCTACCTGTCTGGTTGTCAACAGACCAATAGCGGCATCCGTAGTTTGAGCTTCAGAGCGTGATCTATGCTATAACAAAAACAAGATTATTGTCCGTTGGCGCATACATCCAGCGTATCGGTACATATCTACTTGCCCAGTGGGCAGCGTGCGTATCAAATCGTGGTCCGAACGATGTTGTGTCACCAACATCTATGCTCACGACAAACCCACTGTGCCTGTTTGCACAGTCCTCGGTGAAACAAAAGCCTTTTGTATCACTGTTACACTACGTACTACCGATTTGGTTGGACACACTCAGAATTCGTTAATTCGAAATACAATTGACGAGTTTGCCCTTTAAACCGGCTGTTTTCTTTTTCGTTTGTTTAATTGTAAATTTTGAAAGTATTTGATACTAGATTCTGTAAGCGGATTCGCCTACGTTACACTGATAAATATCACCATATTTATGATATACCACCTGTGTATGTGTTAGTTCAGACTAAAATCTATCTCTGACCCACTATTTATCAAAATTCATTAAGTATTTGTTGCGATATTTTCACAAACATATAGATAGATGTTTTCATACCTTCAAAGTTTCGCGTTTATATGTTTAGTAATTACAAGTTTTAAAGACTTTACTTTTATATTTTTTGTATGACTGTTGAATGTGTCATCAGATCATCATTTACAAGTTAGGTGATAATTAAATACAAAGTAGTTCTTCGGTAGTTTTATTTTTATTTTGGCACACACACATAAAATACATAGGAAAACAGAAATAGAGGTATAAATAGTACTTATTGCTATAACTGAATTTGAATGATGGATTTGTACTAGACAACATTTTTGTTTACTATGATGCAGGATATTTTTTATCGTGAGTAAACAATAATTGTCTTGCGTACGCGCACCTTGGTCTTGTCCTTGATTTTATGCAACGAACGGGACCGGAGCTGTTTGGTGCAAATCGTCAGTGCACGTCCTCGTACGACTTACAGACAAAACCAGGTGAAGCGGTACTTATACATACGTATAGCCTATATAATTGAAAATTCTGTATTCTTGTTTACATATGATTAGGTGACCTGGCGAACTCCGAACCGCCTCCAAAAATGTAATAACGTAAATTTTGTTTCGTATCAAATATCTAACGTTACTTAAGTATCAAGATACTTAAGTATCAAAGACATTGGCAGTATTTAACACACAATTTTGCCATAGTTACGTACCATTTAATCATTTCCAAGTCGGTCCATCCGTTTCTGAGTTTTAACGAGACAGACGAACAGCAAATCACTTAACACAAAAAACGCAATAAGTGAACAAAACACCATCGTGCGATTTTAAACTTTATGTGAAGCTAATGTCACTGGTTTCAACTTGTTATTGTTTGTTTTTGACGAGTTATATCACTTTGTTTAGTAGATAAGTAATGTACTTAAATATAATGTGCGATGTGTAATCTTTTGATTGTTTATTGGTTACACTGATATTATCCAACTACCGACTTCGCCACTGGTCTTCAGGCCTGACTAAGGACTTGATTTTTTGACGAAAACGAAAACCATATTTAAGGTCAAGGTAAAAGTTAGTTTCTGAGTGTAAAAAAGGTGTGTTGTTCGTATTTATAAGGTACCAACAGGCACTTAAATTATAACAAACCATTAACATTTTTCGGTGGCAATCTGCCAAGTTGCGAAGAATGAGTTGAAGTATTTTACTCCGTATAGTACCAGCATGTGTAAACAATATTACTTATGTAAGCAAGCATATGCACGTTTCTAGAGGGCTCGGCTAAAAATCTAATTTGTGTAAAAAGATAACCCTCCATTCGCCGTGGGTGTGTAAAATGGCAACGTGGCGTCTCACGCGCCGCGCGGGTAAAAATGCGAAGTAATGGTCGCGAGCGATACTCCGCGCGACTCAGGTAGTGACATAATGAGCGCAGGAGGCAGGTACGTGCGAAACAATGCACCTGGAAGGGCCGCGACTAATAATCTTGAGTTATTATATGTATTATTATCCTTTTACTTCAAAGAGACCTTTTACTTCGCGAGTTACCTGCTCTTCACTGCACTAGTGATAACACAAAAGGTTTACTTACTTATACATAGGTATATTTCCAAGAAATAGTATGTGAACTATGTATGTACGGGGAATAAACCTCTAAACTTTTTGTTCTAATATGCTGTGATTAAAAGCAATACTTTTATGGCTTTGAAATAACATAGTAACTTACTTATCCTTACTGTTGATTGTTAAGATTGCTGAATGTCATTCATTAGTTTCGAGAGCTTGCTTCCCCCTCCAAAGAAACAAGCGAATATTTTTTGTGTTCGCTACCCGCATCGAAAGCGGGGCACACACTCGCACGCGTATGGAAATAATGATACCTAAGTTATAAGAGAATTTATAGTCTCGCCCCTACGCATGAATACCGATCGCAACGTGTCGCCCGGCTCAACGATTGATGGCAGCAATTTTCGCGGCCGTGCCCCTTCAAGTTATAGCCTACACGTATCTGTGTCGCGCTAATGGCGGCGCGGAGGCGGCGATCGGTCGGTGACGGGCGCGTAAAATGCGTAAATGTAAATGTGTGCCCGCGGTGTACGCCATCCGGCGTTCGTCGCGAGCGGCGATAATTTAGCCGCGCCGCCTCCCCGCTGTCGCCCCGACCCTGCGTCGCGTCGCGCCGCCGCCGATGCCTGTCGCTGGGTGAGACGCATGTTACGTAAAATCTCCGTCTGAACTGCACTTCGTGCTGTGGATATGGCAACAATCGCTTTACCGGCTTTCTACTTGATACCCTCAATACTTAACTCAAACTGCCTCTTGGATGAAGCTGGAGTCCACTCGATCTAGTTTTACGCCGTAGGTGCTTACTTGTATGACTTAACTATATGAATATAATAAACCATTATAAATCTTGGATTGAGTAACTTTTTACCTGAGGTCTTGTAACAAAACAACTGATAGAAGATGGCCTATAGCTCTCATAGACACAATAATGAAACATATTGAACGAGACGCGTTATCATGTTATTGCAGCTTACTCATCAGTTAATCAGGGTTTTGTTATCGCTAGGTAAGTACTCACAGCTGCACCACAAACGGCACCGGTCGATGACTTATGCAAATTCTTTCTACTGCTGACATTGAATCTCGGTTTTGATAAATTTGTTCGCGTCCACATTTCGAAAGTTTGTTTTGTTACGGCCAGTTACTCGCTGTACTCGACTACGAAAACATGGAATTGAATAATCAAGTATTCACCAATTACACTTCAGCTTCAGCTGGACTGGACCTTACTTTTCAACAACACATCAGTTTGAAATTCGCAAAATATTTCAGAAATGTTTTATTTTATTTGCTAAAGGTTCCATAACTTTGAATTTGTGGAATCTGACATCTGCTTGGCATAATTTTATTGAAGGGTGGCATACCGCACCAAAATGTAAATGTGCTATAACTTTATATTTTGCACCCAAACCGTCGGCCTAAGTAAGCTCGGTGCGGCCCTGACCTTCATACAATATGGAGTAGTTTTCTTTATTAGTGATGTTCTGTTTGAAGCTAAGATTCTGGGACCGCCTCTGTCGTGTATTTAGGGCTAGTTAGATGGCTTGAAATACGTGCCTGACAACTGCGATTCTGCGACATTGACCCTCGAATTTGTACTTCAAGTAATATTACCATTATTGGCGTTCCAAAAGATTTCGTCAAACATTTTTGTCATAGTCAATTCTTTCGTACCCCCATCACCATCTGAGGTAAAAAATGTATATTGAGTTGGGCTGTACAAAGAATTCTACACAAAAACGCTTCGTCGACTGTCCCAAAAATACAATCGTTACATTCGTGAGATAAGCCCGACAATTACTATGTAGCCAACCAGTGTTCAAAGGCGCGTGGAGACGTGCCTTATCAATGGGGTGGTTTGTGCCGCGGCCGCGTCTACGTGCAACGCGGACAAAGAGCTCCTAGACTATGTCGCGGATATTCGTGGGAAGAAAGGGTTGGTCGCGCCGCGGATCTGCGGCAAAAAACGCAATAAACAGTTGGTCGGATAACCGTCGCGTGAGACCGCCTCGTTTCAAAAACCTTTAATTGGACCCTTTTCGCAACGATTGTTATGTAGATCAAGTGACGTCCGCGTCTTAAATATTGTTTGTTTTTTGTCAACTCGCGATCGAAAGTCGTGCTCGTCTTTGTTTCTTGTCCTTACGATTGTAGATCCACTTCCGGCGTGATGTCGTTCATGATTGTACTTGTAGATATTTATTTCGCTTTGCTTGTGTTGTACTCTCATATGGATAAAGGTTATTAATTGGTATGATTTGACTGAGTATGAGTTTCAATTCTTCAATGAAAGCAGAAATTCTTGACTGTAAGAATATAACGTTGTATTACAGAACCGCTAGGTATGAGCAGCAATTCTAAGAAGTCCACCGGCCGATAAGTTTTGTTTCGCAAATCGCGGTGTGTCGCGTTTCGCGAGTGTTGCTCCGTGATTATGTAAGTACATTGCGTCTGCTATCTGCGCCGTTATCGCGGCACCTAAGCGCGCAGCCGTCCGTGATCTGTTATCACTGGACAGGTTCGCCTTGCGACATATTCTGTCGCATGTGTGCACGCTATTATACTTAATCACTTGAATGCAGGCAAACGATCGAAATTGCCTTTTATGTGCTAGTTTTTGTCGAGTTGGCGGGATATTGGAATTAATTGTAGCAACTTTAATAAGTACTTAGTAATTATCGTTTATTGCTTGGTGGCCACCCATTTTCCTTGTTTAATAATGATGCATATACGAAGGAAAAGCCCATCCCAAGCACATTAAACCCGCCACGTTCCCTATCAGCATTATAAGCTTTATTAAGTAGATTCGGGCTTAATCGAGTCAAGTCCCAAGTTTTCATTTTGTGAACGGCTCAAGTTGTTGCGAGAGCACACGAATGGGCGCGGGTTTAACGAGCGCCGCCGACAGAGTTTCTGAACGATTATCTCCACGACTAATTATTTCCGGCGGCGCGCAGCGGCGACTCACGCGCCCGTCCAACACGTCGCCGACGCGTTGGACTATCGAACAAGCTTTTAAAATTGTACATCTGCGCGGTCAATAGACGGCGCATGCATTTCACGCGCGACCGCCCGGAGCCTATCTATACCTGACGTTGACGCTCGCGATCTTATTACCGCGCGCCGGCGAGAAAAAAAAACAAAGGAAGCGGCGGCGCGGCAAGCGGAGCGGCCTCGGAGATTTATGGAGGCGCGGCGCCGCCGGGGGCCGGAGTGTCCCCGAATCGCCGCGGCTCGCGGCTTCCAGGAAGCGCGATGCGGGCGAGGGTTGGCTTGCACGGCGAATATTGATTACCCACTGGTCGTACTATTAATAGGAGGTCGGTTGACGTCGCCCGGTGGGAGTTCACCCGCTCTGTCCGCACTCGACCTACGCGAGCTGAGTACGTTCGCCTTTCCGGCGTCCATTTCGCTAATTGCCTCAAGCCACACCGGCTACGATGCCGGTCTTAGTGTGCTATGTACGAACTAAATTATTTCGAGCATGCACATCGCATCGGTAATTGCTGGACGATTTCAGATCCATCTACGAGAGTGCCAAATTATTTAAGCTTGGGATCTAAATTGCTGCTTCGTTACGATCTCACGAATTCACGAAGTTGTACCAAATAATGTGTTTACTGTAGTTTATAAGTAAATTTTGTTATTAGAGACTAAATTAACATATTGTGTTCTTTCGTCCATTATTGTTGTAATTTTTTTGTTCACAATCTTAGGTTCGGTTTAACCTGTCAGCCCCGCGGTGACCACTGAACGTTCAGTAAAAGGCATGGTCTTAATTTGACACAAGAATCGATTTGGTTCCGAATAATTAACAGACTGCAGCTGCAGGCGAACTGGCGAACGTCGAGTTATTTGAACAAGATAAGAGCGGTCATCCGCGGAATATGAACTAGGGGAAAGCGAGCGTGCATGAGCTTCTAGAAAGTTCGAACAATGCGTTAATCGTCGGGACAGGCAGTGAGGCAGACAGTGACCTGCAAGCGCCGCCGCGCCGGTTGTACCGTCACGCGGGTGACGCGTGCGCGGGCGCAGCCGCGAGGTCACCGCCGCGCACCGCTACTTAATAGCGCACAGCAGAATGTCCACTGACTCGAAGGGCGATTGAACGACCCAACTTAATACTATATGGTACATCATGCTGCCCATTCAATACTAAAACCTCGTAAAAATACTGTCGTAATCTTTGTTATTGTATGTATCTATATGTAGCTGGTGGTGCTAGTACCATTTCAATATTTTTCCATATGCTTTGTACGTGTCTAAATAGAAATTCAAAGTATGTTTTTAACAAATTTTGACAATACACTTCAGGCCAAATGATTTGCCTATGCTTAATAAAGTCAGTAAAAAAACAGTCTACCTTCTGAATCTGTTTTGCCGACGCAAAAGCGGCTATGCGACGCGGGCGCAGCTACGACGCACGCGCTGCAATACGATGCGACCGCGGCCGCCATTATCTCAGACATATTTGATCGATGCCACCGATAATATTCAACAGCTCAATAACGTACTCAGGTACATAAAATATAGTTAATATCGTCGAAAACACCAGACGGGTTATTGTCCGTGCCATTTGTTTTTCTTTGCCATTGCCAATGTAGTCGTATAACGTATAAGTATATACGCGTAGTCCATAGTGTTTTTGGAAATATATTGTGATATTTGTAACAAAACACGTATGAACGTATGTAAGTAATATTTGTTGTAATGAAGTGTGACTGTTACGGCATATTGTTGTCATCTGATCATTTGATCAACACTTAAGGTTGGATTCGACTTTATTCACGCGTCAGGTAGCTGTCAGCGCAAAGGTCAAGACGAGATATTGCCACACTGAATGTACCAATCACCATTTATCTAGCTGACTTCTCCAAGCCTTCCCTATAGCGACAATCACGGTGTGGCGCGGCGTGTCGCCGGTAATGTTTTAAACAATGCCGCGTTATCGCGAAACTAAATGCGTCACCACACTGTTCATTTGAGCGTAGTGTACATCAGCGGCATTGCAGCGTTGCGTCACCGCATCGAACGGATATAGCCGCGATCGATCAACATCGCTTCCTTTATTTTTGCGCGACGCCATCGCTTGCAGCCAGCCACGGCTAGCGGTCTCGCCCACGGCACGACATTCTGTACCTAGCTTTCTATTCTATTCAAAGATACGTAGTTTCACAATGTGACTTGCGATGCAACGTCAATAGTCGCGAGCTGGCGATGGGGCGCGACGCTCACCACTTCTGGCTATTTTCAGCGTTTACGCAATATGTAGATTAATGTGGACCTCAAAATGTCGTTTGTGGTTATATGACCACTTGATCTCATCAACTATCAATGGCAAGACATTATATTTGCATAATTATAGGCTAAATTGTATGAACAAGATCAGCCAAAGTTTGCCTTTTGTTTTTGATCTGATGTTATCGCCGCCAAAACACGTATTATTGCAAAATTCTCGATACAACAATCTATAATGATATGATGGCGGATACGAGATAACAGGTCGTCTGTCGACGTCACGTCGCTCTGCCTTCTCCGACGCACTATCACGAACTAATTGTTCTGTTCGGACTCGCTTGGAAAGAATTATTCCATCGCATTAGCTCTCAGTTCCGCGTGGGTGCATCATTGCACTTCAACCCACTCTATTTATACTTGTCAACGGAACTCGAACTCATCCACCGACGCTTTACAATTGCCGCTTTCTATTGTGCTGAAAGTTATACTTCGATGGATGTTGTACAAGCCGATGCTGTTGTAGAGAACTTGTTTAGGAAGTGTATCAGGGAGAGGGGCCTGGCGTCTCTTCGCCAATAAGTTTCAAAGTTTTATTTTATGTCGCTGTGTCCACGTGTACCACTTTGGCTTGTCTCTCGTTTGGCGTTAAATGTGCACAATGTGTGCCCCGACTTACAGTTAGTGGCTGGCTGCGGACTTTATAATAATTCGCTCTTTTACTGTTTCCTCGTTTAAGTGAAATGGTGTCCGCGGCAAACATGTTGCTGTAGTTTGTTAATTGTCCAGTTTGTTTGTCTTGTGCTACGAATAGTTTCATCACAAAACCTACTTTCTTTTGACGGTGGAAAATTATCAAGTAACTTCTCCCGCCCAGAGTGGCGGCAAGAAGGAATCTGAGGGAGTGAACTTTTACTGACTACAACCACCCCGTTCCTTCTTCTGTTTCGTAACTAAGAACATTATCCGACTTTGATTGCGCTTGTAAACAAACCTCTCGTGTAACTCGGGTAAAGAAAAGTACATGCCTATAAACATTTTTTTTAATATATTAAGTAGTGTTCTTAAAATACACACATGTATTCGTAGTTGGCACAAAGGCGGGTGTGCCGCTGCTACACGAGCCGGGCGCGCTGCTAAGAGTCGCTACTCGTTGCTTATAATCAAGTTTTCAGTAGTTGCGCGGTAAAGGATAGCTTTAGCCAGTAATTTGTCTGAAATCCCCGCTGGCTACATACGTAGGGTGGTTCGAGGAACTCGGCGTCTGTTGTATTCCCAGGACTACTTGTAGTTGATGTTACTCGAATATTATCAACTAATTCGCATAAAACGAAACAAAATATTATCTCTAGCAGCCTCGCCTGCGGCTGCCTTCAGTATTTCTGTCTCTGACAAAACAACTTGGATGTTACTTCTTTCAGACTTCCTTTAATAGTTTTGTTCGATTTGTGATTTGTTCTTTTCATCTGGAACCTGTTTTGGTCTATTTTATACTATGGAATTATTATTATTTTCTATTGCCTTATTTAGCTAATTGTCTTATTCATAGCCGTAGCATGTATCAATTGTAGAAGAGCTGATGAATTAAATTAACAACAACAAGATTTATTCCTCTATGTGTGTACAACTATTTCTGCACAGCGAAGGTAATTTGAAGCGGTCTCTTGTATCCAATTTAAATGCGCTTATAATCGGCGGCAGGCACCAAACTCCATTACACGTGCACACCATTATTCTAAAATCAATTACGTGTGTGGACTTTTATGGCCATAGTTAAGTTCCGTCATGTAAAGGGCAGTGCGCATCGATCGCCCTCTATTAGCGCAATCGTAGCGGCGCATCGTGGGAGCGCGGCTGCGCGGGCGCACCGCGCGTCGTGCCTGACTCACCGCGCCTGCGTCCGCGCCTCGCCGCTCCGTCATCTGTCAGTGGGCGGCCATTTTCGGTGTTCGCCCGCCGCCAATTTGCATTGTTAATAGCGATTTTAACAGCCAAATAAAATTGCTTAGAAATGTATTTAGTGTTTCCAGCTTGTAGCGTATTCACCGAGTTTATGATGTTGCCCATAACGTCACATGTCACATTGTCATGTTTCGTAGAGTGAATAGTGTTTCAGTTAGTTTTAATCATTTCGTATAGGAGGTAAATAGTATAGTAAGCGGGTAAAGGTTCGTTGACACGATTCAACTTAACGAGAAGTGGTTAACTGCGGAGTTTAGAGACAATAAGAGACTTCGTATGGCAACACTACAGGCGGCTGTTAAAACAGTGCCTTGCGTTAGAATGTAAGATTTTTACTACGGTCGATAATGGCTTGTTTAGGAATACTTGCATTATGATTAGCTGTAAAAATACTACGGCTAATATGTTACAGGACTTTGACCTTTATAATCATCTGCCGATTGCCTATAAGGATTAATAAAATACATAGTAACTATCTTTAAAGTTTTATTGAGTCGTTAGTAGACCAGGAATAGACTGTAATCTTATCTTGTTGTAAATGAAGACGTGTACCATGGACGGAATATTTTATGAGTAGATACGTCTATAAACATAAAAATAATCCCAATTACTTTTGGTCATAGCGTCACGCGTGAATGGCCAATTTTTTGCCACCCGGAGAAGATTCTTAAAAAAGAACTACTTTTAGGGGAAAATCAGTATTGTTTATGATGCCGTAGCTATTCGCTAAAAAAACAATTGACTGACAGTTGCAACTGTGTGAAGCAGGAGCGGGCCACTTGTTAAATATAATAGATATCTTGTTATAATTATTAATGCGAAAGTTACGATGTTTGGATGTTTGCTATTTAATCAGGCCAAAACGGCTGGACGGATCTGGGCGAAATTTGGCGCAGGCATAGGATACACTCCGGAATAGGACATGGCTTTTTATCAAAATATTACGCAGGCGAAACCGCGGGCGGAAGCTAGTATTTTCATAACAACAAAGTATGAACTGTAGTATGGCATAGTAAGTATATAAGGTCGAGTTAGTAATTTATTTATGCAGTAAAGTATAACAGTGGTATCTTTTCTAGCAAATACTCTCAAATTTAAATACAAAACTTTAGATTTTTTGAATATTCTAACACCAAAAGCTAGGTTAGCTCGTGACGGATAGTTCGACATTCATTCTAGGTAGAAAATTGCGAGAAAAAAAAACGAATCACCCTCGTAGGCTCGTACCTGAGTAATCAGAGGAAATGTATGCGTGCCTCAAGGATACTGAGTAGGCGGGGACTTACCTACGAAGCCGCGGGTGGCATAGTTACGCCTGTCTCAGGGTCGCAAGTTTGGACATAACTTAACGATAAATATTCAATATTTGTTATTACAATATTAGATAAATAATTGAACAGCATTGCGCTAGGTCAGTTTTGAAGTTTGTCCTCAGAAAACGATTTGTTAAACATATTGACACGCATTTTTTGCCTTCCTGTTCGGGATATCCCAAATTTCTGCTGCCGCTTGGCCTTAGTTATATTGTCAGTATTCGGTTTGTATTAGGGGCAAATCTATTTTAGACATGATTTTATTTACAATCTTTTGCATTACGACGTAGTAATTTGAGATGCCTGAAATGGAAAGATCGCATGAACAATATGGATTTTCATAACGGGAATTTAAGGGAATTCTTCCTTTCCTAACTTTCCTGTTATACATTTAATTATAACTCGAACTATTAGTTGCTTTGATGTACGCAAGTATCACATCAGCCTCATTATCCTGTTTCCTCGTGGACTGCAATGCGCCGATCGCAGCTGCGCCATTTTTTTTTATCGCGAAAACAGCGCAGATGCGTTAGGAAGCGGACACGGTGCGTGGGATCGCGGGGAATCGAATCAAGTGTTCTGGCGATACCGTGGTCAATTTACAGAAGCTTTTAAAAAAAAAGAAGCTTTTGAATATAGAATGACGAAACAACTAGCGACATCTTCAATTTTTAGTTGGTTATGCTTTGACCATAGATACGTCATTAGGTAATGAAAAGTAGTGCTTGATCAGTTTTATTAATATTGTTACGGGGTTTTAGGGTAATTGTGTATCCTTCATAAGTTATTACAATTACATTAATATAATACACGTGTCGGTATTTTGTATGTCTCTCGTTTTATCTAAAATCTATTGATTGATTGTATTGTCCTCCAGCCTTTGGTGATTGAAATATGGTAATCGATACTTCAGTTAATAAGTTAGACTTAGTGTTGTTATGTGTATTATTAAGTATATTATATTGTGGTTGGTCTTAAACACAAAACCTTGATCTTGACCTCTTTGAG